CCCCCCCCCGGATGCCAGCCTGCGGCAAGTGCAGCAGGGGCTGATGGCCGAGTGCTGTGATGTGCCGAGTGTGGGCACTTGGGCACTCCAAGCCAGGACTGCTTTGCTGTCCCTCATCGAGTTAGACAAGCGAGTGGGGAACCCCTGAGAACTGTCTGTCCGGAGTGGGGGTCAGGTCCCTTTAAGCACAGCCCTCGGCTAGCCTGAGACAGCAGCTCCACGCTCTAAGTCCTAATCTGATGCCCTGCCGGCACTGCTTCCGGCCATCCTTAACCTCGGTTCAGGGTCCACTCAATGTGGACATGCTAGTTCGAATTAGCAAAATGCTAATTCGAACTAGTTTTTAGGTCTAGATGCACTAGTTCGAATTAGCTTAGTTCGAATTAACTAATTCGAATTAAGTTAGTTCGAATTAGTGCTGTAGTGTAGACATACCCTTAGTGACTTTTCTCATTCAAACTGTAATGCTGCACCCTTTCACCTGAATCTCTGTGAGCTCTTAATGAGTCTTAATTAACTCACCACCCAGTTAGAAGTGAAATTAAAAGGGACCTGCAAAACAGGCTTTGTGCTGCAGAGGGCTCGCTTCCCGCAAAGTGGATTCATTACAAGGCACCTTTCCCCTGCCAGAGCATTGCAAAGGGGCCTTAGCGTAAAGGGGAATCAGGCTCTGGAAGGTGGAAAGAGACCTGGTAATGCACAGGAGTGCCAGGGAAGCTATAGGACTGCTAGGTGCTGTACTTTAGCTATTAGGTTAGTGCCCGAAAGACATAGCCATAGAGTAGGACCCCATGGCAGGTGTTGTGTGTTAGCTATTGGGTGTATTATGGTAGTGCCCAGGAAATCGGACATACAGTAGGACTCCATGATGCTAGGCACTGTTCATTATTAGGTGTATTACGAACCAAGAGACCTGGCCATACAGCAGGATCCCATGGTGCTAGGTACAGTGTGTGAGCTATTAGGTAGATTATTGTAGTGCCCAAGAAACCTGGTTTTACAGCAGGACCCCCTGGTTCTAGGTACTGTGTGTGAGCTATTAGGTATATTATGGTAGTGCCCAAGAGACTTGGCTATACAGCAGGACCCCATGGTGCTAGGCACAATATTGGAGCTATTAGGTGTTTTATGGTAGCACCCAGGTCCCTGGCCATTGCCTAGGACCTCTCCTGCTGGCAGGGGGGGTGTCGATACGGAAGCACAACCGTGGTACAGCTGTGGGGCGGTGGCATTTGAAACGTACATAAGCCCTTAGTTAGCATGGACAGTGCGTGCTCAGTCGGTGATTGATTTACTTCCCTAATCCTGTCTTACGAGAAACGAGGCCTCCCCCATGTTTAAGCGCTCATGCCAAGCCAGGCCCACATTCCAGTGCCTATTGGCTAGCATCCCTTCTGTGTGCACCAGAGACTTGTGTCAGGGCTTTCTTTTTAACATGCATTGCCCAGCAGCACGGACACAAAACCACAACAGCCTTAGTCATTGGTAGAGCCCTGCAAATCCGCGGGTACCCACTTCCTATCCATGGAGCCTTACTGCGGACAGCGACACAGAGGCAGATACACATTTGGTACCTGCGTAGGTCTCTCACACGAAGAGACAGGCAGGCCGGGGTGAGGAATCACAGTGCAGACCCTCCACCTGCCCTGACCGTGAGAACTGGGAGGCAGGGACATGGGCCGTGGGCTGCCCGGGCCCCCTTCCCAAGGCAGGTGGAGGGACCCAGGCTCCGCACATCTGCCACTTCAGCTCTCCCCAACCCAGCTCACGCTGGGGAGGAGGGTGGCATGGAGCTACAGCCCAGCCATGGTAAGAGCCGGGCAGGCAGCTGTGGAGCCATGTGATGGTGAACCCTCCACCTGCCCTGAGTGCAAGACCTGAGCTCCCGGGCGGCTCCATAGGTCACCCCCTTTTCCCCGCAGCCCAGACAGTGTGGATCCCAGCCAGGGAGTGGACTCGCTACCTCCTGCCTACGGGGCAAGGTTGGGGGTGGGGGGGTTAGAGCAGTCCCCAGTTGTATCCCCACCTGCCAGGCTCTCAACCTGGTGGAAGGTAGATGAAGGGTCTGCTGCTCTGTGAAGACTTCCCACAGCTGCTAGCCTGGCTCTCCCTGCTGGAGCTTCCTCAGAGCCCCAGCCTAGCCAGGATAAGAATGCCCTGCCAGTCCACGGATGCAGATGTCTGCAGACAATTTTTGCAGATCACGGCTCAGATGCAGACACACGTTATGGTATAAAAGTAATAGAGATGTAGCCGTGTTAGTCTAGTCTAGCTGAAACAAAAAACAGGACTATGTAGCACTTTAAAGACTCACAAGCTGGTTTATTAGGTGATGAGCTTTTGTGGGCCAGACCCACAATAAACGATCTTGTTAGTCTTTAAAGTGCTACATAGTCCTGTTTTTCGTTATGGTATAAAGATACCTATCCCAGTATAGCTGTTCCCATATGAGAAGGGGAAGCAAATACAGTAATTCCTCATTTAACACTATAGATGCGTTTCTGAAAATGTTTGTGCTAAGCGAAAACGTGCTTTGCGGGGTCAATTTTCCCATTAAAAATAATGGAAAAGTTGAGGGTTGCATTTCAGGTAGTGGTGGCAAAGTCAATTTTTTGTTGGTGCTGGGTTGTCAATGACAACTTTAGATATCTGGCAATACAAGATAATGAGCAACACAAGTCACCGCGGTTTGTTAAAACACAAAGATAAACACATGAGTGAGCGGAGGAGCGCTGTGATCACGTGTATTTATCCACTCATGCGTATTACTACTGTTTTCACCAACTTATAGTGCCACTTGACTATTTTCGTGTTATTTCGGGGACAGTCATGTTATTTGAGAAATGTTCCCTAAAAAAAACCCGTGCTATTGCAAAAATGTGTTAAGCGGGCACGTGTTAAATGAGTAATTACTGTATACCACTAGAGGGCACCTTTGCACTAGTATACACTAGGTGTGGCCCAGTGTGACTACTCCAGTGAGCCGGCTGGTCTTTTACCACATTGTAGAACCCTAGGGTTATAAACACCAGAGTTAAGAACTGACTGATCAACCACACACCTCCTGGCACCAGAAGGATGCAGTCAGGCAGCAGCAGGGATCAAACAGCACCAGCCTAAATGTAAACGACTAAAAATCTAGAGGGCAAGCAGCATTTCTCTTCTGCATAGTAAAGCTTCAAAGCTGAATTAAAGTCACTGTTGACTGGCCCATGACG